ATGGAAGCATCATTGAGTCGACTTTGCAACCCGAGCAGCTCGTACAAAAAATGTTTTTAAAAATCTTATGCCTGCCGTGATGGACACATTTTGACAAAGATGACACCAAACAAAAAACAAAGTCAAAAACGAAACAGCTTCAGAAAACAAAGTCAACACCACCAGTCTGTTTCAATACTTGAAGCACAATCATATTGCAAAATATCTTATGGGCAGGGATAGCTCAGTAGCTAGCGTGGTCACCCCATGATCGGAAGGTCGAGGTGTTTGAATCCACTGAACGGCTACTCTGAGGTACCCCTGAGCAAGGTACCGTCCCTACACACTGCTCCCCAGGAGCTAGATTGGTGGCTGCCCACTGCTTCACTGAGTGAATGGGTTAAATGCAGAGAGGAATTTCCCCACGGGGATCAATAAAGTATGCATTATTATTATTATAAAAACCCCACCTTGACAGATAGATAACACAAAGTAGCAACACATTTATAGTACAAATGTGCAAATGTTGTCAGTGAACAATCATTCAGTCAATTCAAGCCAAAATGTAATTGGGATTTTAATTTAGCCCTAGCAAGCTCTAACTTCAACTCATTCTGTCCTGTTATTATTATTATCATTAGTAGTGGTAGTATTTCATTTAACAGTAGCTCCACCACCAGAATTTTAATCTGTCGCTATGGCAGCGTGCAGTCTGATTTTTCTGTTAAATGGATAACAATATTCGGTTACTGTGACCTCTGACGAAAAACCCTCACCCAATATTCAACCATCCCTGCAATCTTGAAAACTACATCAAATTAAAATGGCTCCTGACAAAACATTTTAAAATCCCTGAGAAAAGAATTTCCAGCAAGAGCACAGAGGAACTGTTTGTCTCTTGACTGGAGATCTATTATCCAAAAAGCTTTTTATTTCCAGTGGTGCAAGCATTTTTGCCTTGTGGAAATTGAACCTCTAACCCCATTAGTGTTATGCAAAGTTGCACTTGACCACAACATAGTGCACAAACCCTGTGATCTACGCCACTGTTTACCAACATTCAGTGTGGGACCCAGAGAAGTTGCAGCTCTGTGAGCGCTACTTGCATGGTAGCCTGTGACCTTAGGCTGTGAGGTCAGCTGCTATTGACGTTTATCTCGCCAAATCCCTTAGGGCTTCAAACAAGACCTAATCAGACTAACCACAACACCAGAACCTCCCCTGCATTTATGTTGTAGCTACACAATTACCTCTCATAAGGAATCTATTAGCCCCTGTTGAGCATGTTCGCATTAAAAAGGGAGGTGGAGAGGAGATGTGGCTATGGGAATAAAGGAAAATCTATTACATGTGAACACCACGAAGCAGAAAAATATCTGTTTTCCTCAACTGAATTTCCGATTTATCATTCATAGCAGAAATCCAACAGCTGGCAGGCTTAAAATTTTGAAACTACAAAACACCTGGTGTCTTTTAGTCTTTTCCCTTGGGGGAAAACCTTCGCCACACAGGGAGTGATGTGTTTGTTTTTTAAAAAACAAACAACAAAAAACTGAGGAGATAGTGGTTGGTGTGATCACCAGAGCAGCAGAAGAAAAAAGAGAAAAGATATTGTATTGAGTTTTTTAACTGAACAGAAAAAGGTCAGAGAGAAAACACTGAAAGCATTAACAACAATATATGGACAAATTAAAACACAAGAATGAGAACACTGCTACTGTCAGTATACTTTAAAGTTGTGTCCACATACCTTTGACGGTATTATAAATACTACCTAATAATAGCCTGATTCATTCATGTGTGGTAAAGGCCAGCAAGTGCTTATCTCTCTAAGCCCAAAGACAACACCCCATCCTGATCTGATGATGGTGGTTGAGCTAACCGGTACTGCTATTGGCTAAAATGAAGGACATGATATTTCGATCTGCTCTGCATTGTCCCCTTTTTTCTGATGATGTTGCACTGTTGCTCTCCTGTATGGTAGCAAGCTCTTCAGCATGAATTTTGCTGCACATGCAAGTGCGTAAACAAGGAAAACTATTTTTTTGCGACCATGACTGACTCAAGCTGTAACGCTCTGAGAAGCAAAAAGATTAAAAAGAAGAACCTCGTCTCTGTATCTCTACTAGGATTGTGCCGATGGATGATGTCGATATCCATCAGCACCAGGGATCGGCAACTGTCAAACCAGTGGTGATAGTTTGCTATAGTTTTATGCTTTTCCACTTACAAAATACTTGAATCACAGTAATGTTTTTCACACCAGTTGATATTGATATATATCATCATATAAATCAAATCACTATTTCTGTCAAGCTTAAAGATTCCTTTTTACTCCTTAGATATGAGGTTAATTTAATTTATTTTTGTCAGAATTTGAACATGATAAATATACTGCAAGACATTTACAACTGTAGGTGTATATATAATAAACTAAACTCTTAATTCCGACCAGTCAAAGGCTTCAAATGTTGCAGAAGCATACAAACAAAACGGGAAACTAACTCCTTTGGTCAATTCCAAACAAATAACAAGAACATGATATGAATGCAAAATAAATCTCAAGAGACTACTCTGTATTATTTCCCTTATGGTCCAGGGTAAGCAAGCAATCAGCAAATTTAATGGATACTTTAAAAAATGTACAGGAAGTGCATCACTGTCTCAGTGACATAGACAGTGAGGCTCATTTATGGATGTACAACTTAACCACAAATCCAATCTGGCAGCAAACTAGAAGAAGACACAGCTATTCAACTGTCTCTCTATGCCTCAGCTGTGAAAATGCCCTCTGAAAGAAATGACTTGGGCCAGGGAGTTGGCAAAGAGTGTCAATTACTTTAATCAGCCACTTAAATTCTACATGTGCTTACTGGCACCATGTCTTTTCAGTATAGTAGTCTGCTGCATTTGCGAAATCACTGTCTCTTTGTGTTATCATTTATTATTTTATCACCAAGCCCTACTTGCAACACAGATGCCACATGACTGCAGTTTGTGCAGAGCCTATTGTCCAACCCTAATCACTTATTTTAAAAGCTAGAGTGTCCAGGTTAAATGTAAGATTAATTAGTACAATTAAGGACATAGTCATTTTATTCAACAAGCTTTATTACTATTTGGATCAAGCAGCTTTAGAAAAATAACACTATTGCTTCTGCAGGTGTTTTAATCAATAATCCTCAAAGGAGATGAACAGAAGTATTCAGTTGAACTCACACCAGCAAATAGCCAATTCTCCAAATCAGACCCAAAAGTTTTTGTGTGCAGCATGCCAAATAAAAAAAAACACAAAAAAAACCCCCTTAAACAATCAACAAGTGTTATTGAAAAATGCTGACAACCAGGGTATGGGGTTACCATCTAATACATACCCTGATATTAAAAACTGATTTTTATAGGAGTGATTTTAACCAGGGGATTTGGTTTTATTTTGATTTTATAATGAGCCTTCCCTCTAAAATTTTACATTTTTAAAGTGATTGATTTTCTATCCCCATCAGAGCAATGACTCTGTTTATCTTATCTTCAATGTTTTTACCCAAGATCACTTTCAACATGTAAGAAAAGTGGTTGTGCCCGCATTGCCACGAGACTTTAGTACACAAATCACAGATGACTTGACCGGCATAAAGTTAGACAAAAAAATGTAACACGCACTAACAAGTACGTGTGCATGTGCACATGTATGTACATGTGCATTTCATATTCCTGGGAATTTCAAAACAGCACTCTCCACCTTGAAGACTCTATGCATCTGTTATCATTTTACAAGTTGCCTGTAACTCTGCGAGTACAAACCTCTCAAGCACAATGTGCCCCACTAAGCACCTCATTACAGAAGAAAGGTTCTGTGTATCCCGCTAAGGTAATAGATGGGAGGTAGGATCCTTTAAATGAAATAAATAACACTGCAAAGTGGCAGAAATTACGGTTTCTGCATTGTGTTTTTCCTCGGGACAAAGGAGACCAACAGGCAGGTAAGATCAGAAGAGCTAGGCAAAAAAAACCCCAAAAAACAGATGTACAAATAATGCAACAAAACCATAATATGACAAATTACCAGCTCATTTTCTTCATTTTAGCATTAACTTTCTGATGCCCTGGTTGCCTTGGCATGAAAAGATGTACAGAGACTTTAGCACTAAAAATAAAGCAAAACAGCTATATAAACAAATAATAATTAAGTCAAGGAAACCACTTTCTGCGCAGGTGGAAACATCCCAAGAAATATGTCCTGCTCTTCCAGCGAGTAAAACATTTACCTCTTCTTATTTAAAGCAAGCCTAACAGTGTGTTATTAAATTGAAACACATAAGAAACACAAATGATATGATGGGCACTAAGGACTGAGAATGAAAGACGCACAGGTTTCAGGATAGTTAAAGTTTACTTTGTGAAAAACAAACACTGAAATTAATCACTGGATGGTGTAGCTTTGACCTTTTAGTGGCTCGTATCTGCTAATGCATATTTAAGACATAAAATAGAATGGGACAGCAGACTCAGACAACATGTCACCTTACTGAAGTCTATGCATGTCTACTCTGCTCCCCTTGGCTCCATGCTAATCTGTCCCTTTGTCTTTTCCCTGCAGTCTCCTCAGCACCAGAGGCGGACAACCTCTGAGAAGGAAAGTATGCAACCCCGTAAATTATTGATGTGTCTAAAGCCACATCAATAATCCGCCTGCTGCTTTGCACGCCAGGCTAACACATGTTCATTTTAATGCAGTGTAATAAAGGATAGGGATTTGCGCATTGGCCTTGCTGCTGGGCTGCAGGGGAGGCGAACATACACATGTAGAATGTGGAGTAACAATAACACAACACACAAAACGACACCGGGATGAGGCGAGTGGAGAAGCGGCAGAGCTTCACAAATATCCCGAACACGGGATATATATTTTTTTAATATACAGATTTCATTTTGTTTGCTCGTGTTTAACTGATAAGAATCGCCACGCACGCTAAGCGAAGCTGTGATGCACCACAAAACCAAGCCAGTGAGTTCCGTCTTACCTGATGTTGCATATCAACCTTCACTTTTGTACAGTAGCAGAGAGGTGCCCAGATGTTGCAGCCAGGTCACTAACTAGTGGAGCTAAAGGTGAACAATTTCCCCCCGCGTTGAAAAACTTTGCCCTCTGTATAAAACAAAAACTGTAAACAGAGAAAGAAAGAAAAAAAGACAAGTGAATTAAGCAGGACTGTCTAACGGTCAGTCGGAGAGGTGGGAGTTGGGTAACATTACCGCTGACGTGCCGTTATTTCGTGCATGGAAACACTGTAGCGCCAAACGTCATTCTACAAATCTGGCGATTTTAACGACCTGACGTGCTCGAGGTAAACACGTCCAGAGGAAGGGGCTTTGGACTTTTTTCCACAGTCATTTCACGGGCTCGTGTGTGAGGAGCAGTAGTTACACATGATGCAACACTTCATTCAAACTAAACTTTGCAACACGTCCACGCCGCTTTGCCATTAAACGCTGTTTTGTTTGCCCGAATAGGACTTGGAGCGTACAACCAAGTGCTTACGTGTAGCCAGAAAATCTAGCAAACTGAGCATTTGCGATACCACCGGAGGTTACATGGCGTGTAAATGTGTCGGTACATATTCAACTGACACATAATTAAAAAGACTCTTTTTTTTGCCCCTTTCCTTTTCCCTCACACACAAGCGGGCTGAGCCTGATCGAGGACCGGACTCGGGGTAGTAAAAGAAAAAGAAGAAAAACAGCGGTACCAGCGGTCACACACCGCCAAAGTGTCCTTTAATTTTCACACGCCACGCTTATTACTGAATTGTTGTGTTACAGTAGCGGGACGGCTGTGAAAATGGCCTCTCTACAATGGCATTACACCTAGCCTCACTGGACGCATTGTTTGTGTCAGCTGCATGTCAAAATAATGCAGACCGCTAGAGAGCAATGACAACAGCTAACGTTAACGGCAGCACCACTTTGCTGGCCTGAAAAGCGCGTGTACCACTCGGCTTGAAAAGCAGTTTTAAGCTAAACGAAACGAGAGGGGGTAAATGGCCTAAGTATAATGCTACAAAAGTGTTATAACACGTCAGACAGCGCGAGGCACGCCCAAAGGTACGGGAAAGTCTAAAATAACTTACATTAGTCCATGCGAAAAGCAACGTAGGCAGACGCTCCGTTAGTCCAGTTTTTTTTTCAGATCTGTATCAACATAGATGGACAGCACTTCTCCGTAGTCCCGCCCCACATGGTTTAGCAGTCGGGCATATCTGTACATATATATAATCCCCCTCCCAGATGTCCAATCACAACTCTCCACTCTGGAATAGTGTCTTTTCCCATTGGTCGAGAAGCTTATCAGTCTCGTGCTGAGTTTCCAGCTGTCTCCGTACCATATAGGGGTGTGTCGTGACGTAGCTGACGGTCCGATAGATAGTAAACAATTGCAGAAATAAACCTTAAGAATATAAACTGAAATAAGGGGTAAAGTCGAAAAGAGTAAGGGCAGCTTTTAAAGTTCAGGGCGTTTAGCTGTATGAATCTATAAAGATGTATACTAAATATACTACACGTGTTTAGACCAATTCACGGGTGTGTGTATGTGTGGGTGGGTGGAGGGATCTGTTTTAATACCGTTGCATTTGAAGCTTAAATGTGTCCGCATTTCTCATCATGAATCATATATGGTTCACCTATACATAATATATGAAAGTTCCAGCTTCTTCTAACCTTTGTGCTCCCTCTGTACTGGAAACTGGTGGTAGCTGATAGTATACCCATGATGACGGGATAACGGCTTAGCCTAGAAAACATTTTGACCGACTCGCCTATTGGTATGTGTCCATAATTTACCGTATATTGGGACACACGCCAAAGCTAATTTGTTTACTGGGTGAAAGAATTCTGTGGGAATGATAGGGCCCTGTGGTGCTATTCTGTGTCACCCCTGGGCGGTTACTGTAGCACATCAATCACCACATCGCCCACTCTGTAATTAGAACTGATTCTCTTCTTTTAGCTATCTCTTGTCATTTCCCTGGATGGCTCAGGGCAGGGTATCACTCTGTATGACTTGGTTTATGTTACTTATTTATTTATTTATTTATTTATTTGTTTATTTATTTATTTTTTGCTTGATCTCATTGCTTTATGAAAATCCCATGAGCTGGATTTCAAACCTTCCAACCTATGCAAAGCTGGCACTGACAACAAGCCAGTTACATAAATCCATAAGTTTCTGTACATGTGGGACTGAAAGCACTGATACCATGTGAGCATATTGATGGCTTGAACTTTTCTGTAGAAGTAGGAATTTTTTAGCATTTGGCATAAGGAAACTTGTTGTGCTTTGTTTTTGCAGCAGACCATGCTAACTTTCTCTGCTCTATGCCCCTGCAATTGCTGATAGACCTCCTGTCTTAATACACCTACATGCTTTGCGTGTTCTTAGATGCACTGTAACATTGAGATATTTCTCTACAGAAGTAGCCACTGTGGTATCTCGATGCATTTACATGTCTTTGCGTCACAGTGTGATATGCATGCGAGCCTAAGCCACTTCTGCATCCTGTACACTATAGACGCATGCTGCAACTTACTGAAACATTTTCCACAAGTGTCATTTATCAGTATGTTGTCACCATTAATGCTTGATGACACACAGGTTGAGGCTGTGCAGGTCAGTCTAGCTGCCGGAGGTCAAAGGTATTCACGCTTTCCTGTTTAACCTTTCAATTCAAGTAAACACTAACACATTGCTCTTCTCCTTCTTATAGGTGCGACTGAGCATGTCAATACATTATCTCGCTGAGTCATTCGGTCATACAGTTATGTGGCATTATTCTGTCAAAGCCTAATGTCGGCTTGATTACTGCATTGAAAATCTTTACTTTTAAGCTCTGCGCCATGAGGATAGTCAGCAGTGAATGGCACTGTAAAGGTCATTCGAGCTGACGACTGCAGATTCTCATACTTCTATTCATGTCACTCTCCCATTTTTAAGAGCAATTGAATTGCATTGCCTACTTGTAGTTTAGTTGTCATTTTCTGCATATAAGGAACAGGCCACCTTGGTTAAAATGATCTGTATGGTTGGATATCACATAAGGGAGGGAGATCAAAGCTTTTCTATTTGTTTCCCGCTTTTTCATTTAAATATTAACTGGGTTAGACAATCTCCATTTACTAACCAAATATGGATGTCAAAAAACTAATGTTTACTGAAAAATATAATGGAATCCTTCAAAACTGGATATGTGGTTCCTATCGCCAAATAGCCTTTGTAACTGCAATAAATGCATTATTCAAATTTACAGCAGCATGGCTGCTCCCATTTGGCTGATAACAGTAATGTTTCTTCTTCCCCACCCCCCGCCTGACTTTCTTATCTCAATCAAGCGGTGCATGAATCAGTGCAGCCAGCTTTAACAGGGCAAATATATATGCATGTACATTCATAAACCAATATACGTGACAATCACGTGTACGGGATATTTCCTCTGTACAGCGTTGCCTGTGTGTGCATGTGCTGGAATCTAGGCCATCCCTTGTTGCTTTGTGTCTGAGAGGCGGATCAGTCTATACGATGCAAGGCATATGGGCGTGTTTATGTCAGGGGCATGCGCACAAGGGACTTAGTCTTCCTCTGGGTTTGTGTGTGCATGAGAAAGAGAACAAAAAAGAGGGAGCGAGAGAGAGAAAGTGAGCGAGTATCACATGAGATGCCCGGATTTTCTCGGGGTGTTTTCACTGTGCACACACACTACAGCAATAGGAGCAGAAGAAACACGAGGACTCCTCATAGCTCTCTCTTCCTCAATAGTTTCCTTCCTAGAACTCGGAATGTCTCCATCTCACTTTAATGCCCCCACCTACTAACCAACGCACACACACATACACACACAGCACTCTCTCCCACTCACAGGGTGAGTCTAGAAAACAGCTGGAAAAGCAAATAGTTACAGGCAGCCCTGGCCCACTGGCTCTTATATATGACTGGACCTTTACTTGGATGAATGCAGTCCTCACACTGGTTTTTCAGCTGCAGTCAGAAGGCACAAAGACCAGTGCAATTGCACAAACCTAAAGGAATGCTGCAGTACTTGGCAAACACACTCTTTGATCAGCTTCACAGTGTGCAGCCAGAAGATTGGTTGCTGTGTCCCCTGAGTGAGCCACAAGATTCTCAGGGATGTTTTGGCACCTACACGGCCGCACACAGGAACACACTGTCCAGGGAAAGGAGCATTCTCAGTAACAATCAGGCCCTTTCCTCTGTCCCCATTTTAAGATTTTTTTATGCTCCTTGGCTCTGCCTCATCCTTCAGCTCTTCGACAATGTCATCACAAGCCTCCAACATCAATAAACTGGACCCAATATTCTCAACAAATTTGCTGCATTCTTTCCATTCAGACACAAGGAAATTTGAGAGCTGAGCAAAAGTGGAACATGGGGTCAGTAAGTCAGCAAATTGTTTTTGCCACTCCTGCACAGACCAGGCTTTGTTAGCATAGTCCGCTCTGATTAGAATTTACAAACCTGAACTGTAATGTTATTGGAACTAGATTACAGTCATGTAAATGGAAATCCATTTTACAGTTTTATTCAACCAGAAAACAGTTAAAAATAAGGCAACAACGACTTGAAATGTGCTACATTTCATGGTAATCCATCTTAATGTTGAGACATTTCAGTCGTAATCACAAATGTCATTCTTGGGGTAAGACTAAAGCCCATGAATCACCAGAGTAAGCAGGACTGACTTATTTATTTCCTCTGTTTATAAATATCAGTATAACATATTACTCATGTCCGTATTATAACAAGCCATATTTCTTGTGGACAGTCTTCTTCCAGACAAGGTGTGTCCTAGGATGCTTAAGGCGTGTGCTGCTGAACTTGGGGAGCCGCTACAACGAGTCTTCAACCTCAGTCTGCGACTGGGGAGAGTGCCCGCCCTATGGAAGACATCCTGCA